AAGAGAATTATAATTCCTCCTGAGACAAACCTTCCTGCTACAAACATAAATTTTGCTCCAATATGTAAAAGATATTTTCCAAATACCAGAGATACCAGCAAGTCAAACAAAGCATAACTTCCAAAGATCATACCAATTACTGTATTGCTTGACTCCTTTCTTTTCAGCCTCCTTGGGGAAAAGAGTCCAAGGATAGAACAGCACATCATGGAACCCAAGTTAATGGAAGCTGCTGACTTTAGGACAAAAATTGGTTCTCTTGAAAGCCACCTGGGTGTTTCCCTTGCACTTCCTGGAGGGCCATTACCCCTTAATGTGCAAGACTAAGGCAGGTCCTAAGAGCATGTAGCGTCATGCTGTGATTAAGTTTCCAAAACCCAGAAGCCACTTCCTTAGATGTGGCATTTTATCACCACGTAGGCCCCATGGTGGTGAAGAAATGGCTTAGGATCATGCCAAACCCAGGAGTACGAGTCCCACATATCCAGCTGGTAAATTAAAATTCTCTATAACAAAGAGGGACAGCTTAGGACCAAGGAAGCCAAAACATGAGCTGAGTGAGGTGATGGTGAAGAATATAGGGTGACCTTGGGTAAAGTGATGGGTTTCCAGAATAAGTGTTTCCCTGTTGATTAACACTTTAAAAGCAACTTCTACCAGTGGAGAAGGGTTCATTCCAAGTGTATCATCTAATTTTTTGCAATTTTCTTACATTTACCATTCTAGCATTTCCAGGGGCCTCAGGATCTGCTATAGACAGATGATAAATCCTTTCCAAAAATTTAGGGAGGTCTTCATTTAGTTTTGCTGGATTTCTTTAATTTTGTTAAACCCAGTCTGCTGGCTGTTTGCATTTAGGCCCCCCGTGGGATAGTGGAGCAGGGGAAATTGTCCTGTGCTGGGAGTGGTTCCTGGTCCAGACTGGGTGCCCTGTCAGGTCTTAGATGACAATACCAGACCAGGTCCCTGTGCCCCAGGAACTAACACAGGATTTTCTAATTGATCCCTATAAGGCAAGGGAGCCAGTCCGACCACTTCCTGAGCTCCAGTGTCGGGAATTGGGGCTGACTATTCAGGAACGGGAGGCAGTGGGGGGTGGATACTTTGGACAGTGAGCTCAGCCGAAAGAGTTAAGGTTTGAAGCAATATATCCTGTCATTCCTTTCCTTTTCTTACTTTCCCTAATGTAATAGCACAAATGCTTGCACATAGGGAAGTTTATCATTCTTCCCTCTTTTTCAAAGAATGTCTATAATTGCAGGGTTGTATAGAGCCATTCAAAGGCCACCATTCCTCAGTGTTTTATCGTAAAATCATAAATAGCAGCTGATCCTCTCTAATCATTTTTGCCGTGGCATCAACCGCCAGGGCTGAATTCTGGGCTGGGGCTTTTGGTGATTTTAGGAACCAGGTGGAACCTTTATATTCTTCCTGGGAACGTCCCTCTCTCAGACAAGAACAGACAGCTTTTGTTTTGTTTCGTTTTTTGTTTTTCCTGTTCCTTTCCTCTATTTGACATCAGTAAAAATTTAAGTATCATAAAACTGACTTGTCTGTAAATGGAGAAATAGTACCAGAACAAAATGAAGCGAAAAACCCAAAGGACAAATAGAAAACTCTGACTAAATGCTCAAGTCTGGTCTTGGAGTTTTGCATATACCAGTGACACAGGAGACCACACAAATGGTCTAATTAACATGGCAAGAGTGGCAGTATATGGGGATTAACCTGCATAAACCCCTTGTAGGGATCCGGGCAGGTACTATGGCCACACATTGTTCCTCTTCCTCTTAGGCATGGGTTCTTAGTTATTCTCAGACCACTTATCCAAAATGCACCTCAGAGGACTTTCTTTCGGGAGAGTTGAAATATTCCGCATTTTTTAAAGACAGAAATACAAGACAAACAATATACAAGCAATACACACAAATGCTAGCATCCAAAGAAAGCAAGGAACTGGTTCACAAATCAGGTAAAAGTCCAGCAACTATTTCGTCTCTCCAGCAGGGTACCCCACTCACAAAACAAACTGGCTTATTCCAGAGAAAAAAGCCCCAAACATAGAGGTAAACAGTTTCCAGCTGTACACACCAGAGCGGCTTATCCTACCTATTGTATGGAGCCTGTCAGCTCCCAGATGTCAATTTCTTGCTCCAACTTCCAAGCACTGGGGCGGCTGGTGCCCTTTTGGAACATTTTGAAGGGAAGATCCTCAGGACAAGTGGTCCTGGCAGCTGCTTGGGCCTTACCCCAAAATTCCCAAGCTGCCTGGCCATGAGCAGCAGGGCCCCCGGCTGGCTTCCTCAAAATTTGTTACTGAGTCCAAACTGGTTCCACTCACTGCACATCAGGCCGATAAATCTGGAAATGAGGTGTTGGGGCAAGGAATTACGATTTTATTTGGAAAGCCAGTAGACCAAGAAAGTAGGGGACTCATTTCCTGGAGAACCATCTTACCCAAGTCAGAATTCAGGCTTGTTTTATACTGAGAAGGGGAGGAGGGTATGGTTGGTTGGTGCAGACTTCTTGGTGTCAGAATCCTTTGTCCTTGCAGCTGTTCACGTAGGTCATGATGTTCATCTAAACTTCCAACAAGACAAACCTTATTCTCTGTTCGGCAACTACTTATCTCTATATGGAAAAGAGACCCTTAAAGATCAGAGCCTTGAGAGTGGGTTATCCTGTATATTTCAGGCTATTGGCAACATTCTTTTACAAAACGTGCAGAACCAACATGACTAACCACAGGAGATAGAACACAGGGTTAAAGCCAAAGGAACAGATCTAATATGGAGTCAGATTTGTTCTTCCCTATTAACCATGAGAACACAGCATCGGTTTGGAAATCTAAATTAGACTAAAGGAGTCAGGGAAGATTTCAGGAGTAATAAGTGTTTGGGGATGTGTTTTGAAGAAGAAAAGAAGTTAGCTAAATAACAAAAAATGAAATAGAAAGGGAATTTATGTGAAAGAAACGCATGACTAAAGGCTTGATTTGTTTTGGCAACCACAGGTAATTCCACAGTTTCCTAGGGAAGGTAGCTATGATTTATCAGACGAAGGATTTCTGTTACTAGGATGGGAGTGGAGTGAGAAGGAAGGATATACTAGCTTGTTTAACATTTCTCTCGAGGGGACAACACTTAAACTTATGCTATTGGAGTTTATATCTGCAAATCCCAGACTCGGAATTTATCCCTCCCCCACTGCTTCCCCCCTCCCCGGTAACAATAAGTTTTCTATGTCTATGAATCTGTTTGTTTTGTAAATTAAGTTCATTTGTGCCATATTCCTTAGATTCCGCATGTAAGTGATATCATATGATATCTTTCTCTGTGACTTAATTCTTAGTATGATAATCTCTAGGTCCATCCATGTTGCCACAAATGGCATTATTTCATTCTTTTTAATGGCTGAGTAATATCCCAATGTTTACATATATCACATCTTCTTTATCCAATCCTCTGTCTTAAACATTTAGGTTGATTCCATGTCTCAGCTATTGTGAATAGTGCTATTAAAAAAAACCCAAAGGGGAAAAAAACTTATGCTATTGGAGAATGACTAGTGTTAATAAAAGCTAAGCACTTACTAAAATGGAAGATGACATCTTATAGCTGCTCTTCAATTCTTAAAATAAAATCCAGAGATGAAGAGTGCCTTATTGTAAGCCCCAATATGCTTGCCCACTAAGACTGGAATTACCCATGGACCCTGGGGGGCTTTCCTTTACTTCCTTAGAAAACCTCCCTGTGGCCCCACACTAGTTCAGGCTGCATTTGTACACACTCATTATCCTGTGCTTTTCCTCATTACAGTTCATGGAAAATGTGTGTGTATGTATGTGTGTGTGTAGATTTGAGGCTCCACAGTCCAAAAAAGCATGGATTTTGAAGCCAAAATGAGTTCAAATCCAAGTTCCATCATTTACAGTTTAGTGACTTAGAGCAAATTACTTAGCCTCCCTAAAACCCCAGTTTTCCCATCTATGAAATGGGAGAGATACTACCCAGTCCAATCGGTTGGCCCTAAGGATTAAATAAAGTAAAAAACGTGAAGGGCTTAACCCTGAAATGCACAACAAAACTAGGGCACATCCCCTCTGCAGTATCTCTTTGCCTTATTCCAAAACTGAACAGAGGAAAGAGGAGCGCGCTCAAGCCGGGGAACCCCATCTCGGCTTCCTCCGTCACTGAGCCCTATAAATAACTTAGCTAAGTCACCAGCTCCCTTTAAGTCGCTGTTTCTCAGAGTGTAGAAGAAGGGAGTTCCTGCAGGTGGTCCCTCCTGGCTGGATGAGTCATTCGGGGTTTGGTCTGAATTTTCCCTCCGCTTCCTAAAGCATCCCCTGTCTCCACCCTACTGTGCGCGTCCTGCCTCCCCGCAGGGCCTCCTGAGGACGCGGCCCCCTCCTGCCCAGCCGCTCCCTCGGGGGCTGCG